TCATCGGAGATCAGCTTCTTGGGAGGGCCAAAATGGCGAACCCACATCTTTTCCAGAGCGGTGATGTAGGACTTGGAGGTCTCCTCATGAAGCAGGTAGGCTGCCATGAACTTGGTGCCAACATCAACTATGCTCAGCACTGCAAACTTGCGGTCTGCTGGCTTGAGGTAGAAAACGTCAGCCTGAATCACTTCGTTGAAGGTCTTGGGCTGTGGCATGGATGATGGAGCAACCTGGTTGGGCTTCTTGTGCTTCAGACATGCCACACACTTGTACTCCTTGGCAGCGGCGATCACAGTGGGATGAGTTCCTCTGGCGGTCAACAGATCAGCCAGAGCATCAGGTGCCGGATGGCCAAGGTTTCGGTGTAGCCGTTGCACCGTTCGAAGAGCATCTTGTCGGTATTCAGACTTGAGCTTGAGGAGGTGTCCGGTCTCTTTCTTGCCAGTTTCATCGACCACATAGGCGGTGTCCCACAGTTGAGCGGTCTCAGGACGAGCCAAGGCAGCAGCCAGTGTCGCTGCAAAGCCAGGTTGGTAGTCTTCCAAGTAGGTGGTCCGGCGGCCATAGCCAGGAGCAGAACCTTCCAAGGGGCAGTGGTAGTGGTCATGGTCACACTTCAGCTGGAAGGCCTCTAAAACAGCCTGCTTTGTGGTCAACAGGCGAGTGCTCTTTTGGACAGGTCGCCAGATGCCGTCGGTGTCCATGCACATTGCTCCATAGCGGCATTGGTCGAAGTCGGCATAGTAACCAGGAAGATCTCGGAGAGCCATCGTGTTCCAGCTCAAGGCATGTCGGGGCTGCTCCAAGTGGGCATGCCGTGCATTGGTCACCTGTCGTAGGTAGATGCGCTTGGCAAAGCAGAGATGGCGACGATGGTGGTGCTCACGTCGAGCCTTCAAGGCTTCTTGCTGTGCAGGGGTGCGACAAGCCAAGGTTTGCATTCTTGACCACAGGCGGCATTCTGGTGCCACCAGCACTTCATCAGGTTCTTCTTCATCAAGTCGTTGGAGTAGCTGTTGTTGATGGCTGATGAGGTTGAAGTCCCAGCCATTGTCCAAAGAAAATCTTTCCACCTTCATGCCAAGCTCCTCTGCGATGTGGCCAGTGCGAGCTTTGCCACAGTAGATTTCCCAGAGAACTCGTCGATGGTCGGGAGGATTGTGAAGCTCCTGAATGATATAGGCTTCGGTGGAGTTTGAGGTAGTGACCAACTGAGTCTCCATGGTTCGAAGGGCATGTCGATGAAGGCGAATGGATTGCAATTCGCCACCTGCTAGAGCCACATCTTCAGCCTGAAACACATGTTCGAGCTTGTTAAAGTCCTCGAAGTGGAGATGGCTGCCAGGTGTTTCCTCAACAATGCGAAGGCTGAATAGGGTTTTCGTGGGATCAGGTACTTCCTCCATGCCAGTGGTGAGGCTCAACAAGTACTCGCCATGGCGGCCCACAAGCACTGAGGTCCAAGGCGATTGCCCAAAGCGAATGCGCTTCTGGCTGAAGTCGATGCCCATGTGCAGAGCCTCAATCACAGGTCGGCCCATCAACATTGGCGTGTTGCCAGGAACCAGGTAGCATTGGATCGTGCCGAACTGGCCATCGATCATCACCGGGAGATCCACTGTCCATGAAGCTCGTGAGGATGCATCGCCACCAAAATGGAACTGGCGGTCACATCGAGCAAAGCGGATGGTGTTGATGGGGTAGTTCATGGAGTGCAAGTGGCTCAAATAGCGGCCGAATGAACCATATCCGCACAGGAAGGCAGATGCACCTGGGTCAAGCATGGTGGCATCCGGTCGGTCGGTGCCCATCTCATCCTGGAACAGGACCAAGGCGGTCTCATTCTGCAAGGCCATACCCTCAGTGGGTGCAGGTCTCTTGTTGGACGATGAGGGTGATTTCGCACCTTGAGGACATTGCGCTGCCCAATGACCTGGTTGGCCACAACGAAGGCATGTAATTGCCTTTGCACGACCTTTTGGATCAGCCTTTCCACCTGAGGAGGGTGGATAGCGCACCACATTCTTTCCTTTTCCTTTGCTTTTGCTCTTGCCCTTTCCTTTGTTCTTGCCGGCGCCCTTCGAAGGTGAAGAGGATCCAGAGGCGGGCGAAGCGTTCTGGCCATCAGTGAGGGCGACGATCGGCAGGTAGCCACGAGCCAACTTGAGCTGCTGGAATCTTTGCCGGGCATCCAAGTAGGTGGCATAGGCGTGGTCATACTCTTCGGCCAACTCTTGAGGATCTTCGGACAGGTCATGGTGTTCTCCAGGTTCATCCTCTTCGCCGTAGTAGATGGCGTCATAGTCAAAGTCAGCCTCATCGTCAGGGGCAGTCATCATACCAGTCGTCGGCCTCATAGTCCAGGGTTGCTCGGACCAGTAGGCATCTTCTTCATCGAATGCGGCGTAGCCGCGGCCCTTCCAGCGGTTGAACTTTCGATCACGTTCAGCATTCCAGCCGCCTGCTTTGTAGTCCTGACCGAACAGCAGGTACAGGGCTTCGATGACAGGATTCTTTTCCAACGTAGGAGCCTTCAGCGTCACCATTTGGCGTTGCTCCTTTGACAAAGCAGCGCGTCGGAGTAGATGCCATCCTTGAACCTGGACTGGAAGAGTCACATTGTGGGCAGTCAAACGACGATAGGCGGTGTCATGGTCGGTGACGAAGGACAGGAGGCTTTGCTGTGGCTTCCTTTGCAACAAGTTGAAGTACTCCTCAAAGTCATTCGGAAGGAGCACACGATCGTCATACTCGAAGTTCTTGTCGAGCTTGGTGATGATCTTGCTGAAGCCATCCTCTTTCTCAGCCTCTTCAACTGAGAAATCCTCGAACAACCGCCACGTCACACCCTGAAAACTTCCCAGGATGTTCAGGACGGACTCGGCTGAGCGCTTGCTGATCTTCATCTTGTGGTGGTAGAGCATCAGCCTCTTTCTGTACTCTTTGTAGTCCTGGGGTTGTCCACTGAACAGTGGAACGAAGGAGTCGCGCAGGTTGAGGTAGTCCCCATCCTTGGAACCTTCTGCAGCCGATGTCGTTGGTGGCATTCTCAAACAAGTAGCCAAGACCGAAAGGGCTCTTCAACGAGGAAACAAAAGAGCTCGGCCAAGGGTTCGTGACAAAGGACTTATGCAGAACCTCGTTCTTCTTCGCGCAAAGGACTCGGAGCCCCCCGGAGGAGGCTCCGCTACCAATGCGAAAAAGGTAGCAGCGGCACCCGAAGTCCGCAAACACGAAAACAAGAGGGCGCACTGAAGCGCCGCGGCCGCGCCTTTTGCAAGGCAACTGCCCTCCCAGTCTTGAAAGGGAACGACGGTAAGTGAAGGTCGAAAACAATTCGAATTGCCGAAACACAAGTGCACAGCGTGAACCTTACAATTGAAATATAATTTTAATCCAAATAAGAAAGACCAAAAGCATCTAATGTCTAGCATAACACATGCGTGTAATCAACGAACGAATATATATATCTTGAGATTAATTAATCTGCCTGCGGAGGAAATAAACAATGCATAATTCCCAAATTACAATTTCCATGGAATTACATATTTGGAGAAGATCATTATGGGAATATTCTTTATGTCTAAAGATACAATTTTTGACCTCCTATTGGAAAGCTTACCACCTTAACATAGAAATTAACATATCCTAATGCAATCGAAATCGATCAATTGGTTACAAATAATTCGGAGATTTATACATTGCATGCTAAATCCTATCTTTAGTCGATCGTATCGCATTCCAATTAAATAATATAAAATATAAATATCATATATTCGATACAATATCAAACGAAGACGAATCAATCATCCAAATATCAAACCATTATATATCATAATATAAATATCTTTTAAAAAACATATAAATCATAAATATTTTATTAGTAAAGACCGTCTAACTATAAATGCAATATTATGCAATCGTAATAAAATCTAAATATTATTTAATTATGGATATATAATGCATCAATTTCGAATTCCCCGAATAAAAGAATATTTTCGTAATAAAAAAAAAAAAAAAAAAAAATGTCATATCATAATAAAGAACATATTTGAATTTAAAACAACTAAATATCGTCGTATATATATATCTATATTATAGAATATCTTATATAACATCCATTCATTTCCCTTGTTTGAATTTACAACAACAAACCCTTGTTTGCACATATCAATGACAAACGCACATTTGCATAAATACTAATTCCTTCAAATTTGACCAAATTTGCCCTTGAAGGAAGGTGGATGCCTCCCCTCCCCGCAAACGCCTGTTGACAATGGTTGTGTTCAAACCCATTGGGCAATCTATCCATATCTATACAAATGAGCCCCAAGTCTCTATAAATTCCTGAGCTCCAACGTACAAGCCGTATCTATTTTGTTGAGGCAATGTCCGATCGTCCGATTGCTTCCGGATTTCTATAAAGTCGCAAACCGTCATTTCATTCTCGTGAAAGGGTAAGAACCATGTCTCTTATAATTTTTGGTGTGCAAAGTTTCTATCAAGCTTAACATGTCTATTGAATCCCTTCTACATATGAAACCGTTTTTAAGGGGTGTGGAACCCCCTGCTTCCATAATTACTTGCCTTTTATTGGGGATCTTATTTATATTTATATACAACATGTTGTTTTACAAAGCATTGGCCACATCTCTCTTCTAGAGCTCCGTTGGAATCTACCCATCAGCTCTTTTTGGCTTCTGGGTGCGAAGGCTTCGATGCCCATCTTGGCTTCGATTGTAGATCTCCCGAGACGGGGGATTGCTCACATCCAGCACAGGGTTTCTTTGACCCTGGGTGGAGCACAGCCACTTTGGTTGAGCATAGGGCGGTCAAGGATGGGCCCATCTCTGGGAAGGTCTTTGTCCAAAAAAGCTGCGAACGGCTTATGGTTTCTTCAGCCCATCCGCTGTCCGGCTTGCGAACAACCATTGCGAATGTCGATCTAGTCAATGGTCGCACTCACAGGCCGTCGTCCCGTACATCGTCGTCCTGTCTCACATGTTTCGGAAGAAATATTCCTGGAAGTCGACCACTCCCATCCCAGGCTTGGCGATGATGCTTTCCGCCAGGAACGCCATGCGGACGCGATGCCCAAGGGCGACGTTTCTCCGGAAGGCCTGGAATGACTCATTGCGCTCGATGTGGATCTTGACGTACAAAGGTCCTCCTCAAGTCCAAGCACATATGGCATGATCCGGCCCCTACTTGCCAACGAACATTGGCATTGACATCGTTTCTTTAGAATTTTGGACTCGATAGAAGCTACAGCTCAGGCCAATCCAAGTCCAAAACAACACCCTTTCCGAACGCACGAACCTGCTTTTGACACCGACCCTTTCTATTAAAAAAAGAAAAAGAAAACAACCACATACACATGGATACCCATGGCACCTTGAAGAGCTGCAAAGATCCGCCTTCCAGCATCTTCTGAGACCAGAACACATGGGATTTCGGGATCGGGACTTGTTCGGCCCTGGAAGGTGCGAACCATCGGCCCTTGGAGGAGGTCCAGCGATTCGGAGCTCCAGATGATGCAGCCCACTGCACCCGCTGCCCGGGCAGCACAGGCTTTGTAGGCGAAGCCGCAACCACCGCCCTGGCGAATGAGGGCAATGGCACCTTGGAAGACTTGCTTTTCGAAGGGCAACGTGGCGAAGGGATTCCTTGGCAGCGGATGAAAAAGGACACCAAAGGAAAAGAAGGACACATCTCTCAAAATATCACCATTTTTAGGTAGAGAGCGACGAACACATTCTCACCAAACTCCTTTGTGCCAGTCATCCTGTTACTGCATGTTTACGTAAATATACACATATTCGTATATTTACAATCATATACACATTATAATTTTCTCGTATAGGTCGACCAAACTGAGATTCTCAGCATTGTAGATCACACGATGAAAGTCTGTACTTTGTAGATGTTCGTTCCACTCCGCGTCAATGGCCTGGACGCAATGCCATCTGCTGCAGGGCTTTTCGATGGACCCTGAGCGCAGCTCCAAATTCACGCTCTGGCGTAGCCCCTCGAAGTGTGTTGGCATGTGCACCCAGAATGGGGCCACGTGCCACGGTTGAAAATAACCCAAATGTTGGTCAAGGATATCTTCTTCTCCTTACATGTTGCCAAAAGGATCCAAAAACACATATAAAACAAACGTGGCTTTTGGGGTTTCACCCAGCAAACAGCTTGGATTGATTCAAAACCTCCTTCCACATGACACCTGTAACTCATAACTCATAACAGTTCGGACTTCAAAAGTGGCTTACCTATCAACAGCTCTCCATAAGCCTTGCGCTGGAGAGCTATGCGCAAACCGCTTCTTCTGACTTTGAAGGAAGTAAATGGTACTAACACGTAGTAACCAGTAACTTACTAGCCTTGCTGCACGGGCAACGCACATGCATGCTTCACGGGGCAATGCCACTCCGCCTCGAAACGGACCGCCCTTTGCGAGCGAACCGCTTCGACGGACCTTTGCGGTGCGCCGAGTCTCCAGGTCCCATGTAGGCTTCGCACTGTCGCTGAACGCCACCGCAGAACAAGGTAAAGACCAAATGAAGAAACTGCCGTGTTCCTGAAGGAACAGAAGGAACAGAAGTCTGGACACTTCATGACACTTCCAACCCAGACTTCGTATCTTTCGTGAACACATGTGGGTTTGTATTTTTTTAAGGTTCCCGGGCCGGGATGTTTGACTATGGGGTATGCTTCGGAGGTATGCTTCGGGGGTATGCTCCGGGGTATGCTTCGCGCAGTGTGAAGACTAAAGTAGTAGCATTTCCAGAGGGTATGCTTCAGGGTATGCTTCGGGGGTATGCTTCGGGGTATGCTTCGCCTAAGTCGAACATCCCAGGCTCTTCTTCGCACGACGGATCCTGCCTGTTCTCTGTCGAATTATATACGTGAAGTTTTGTTCGTGGGTCCCAACTTCAGTGGGCTTCATATGACCAAATCATTTCCAAGGCAGGAACCACTTCGCTTGGCTTGACTTGACTTTTGCCTAAAGCTTATGGAGGTCACGATGGTCACAGTTCCCATTTTCACTACAACAACGTTGTTGGTGGGATTGTGACCCGACGAGCTATGATAGCTGGGCTGCTCCTCTTGAGCTACAGTACTTCAAGAGAACCACCTCTCAGCAGTACAGTAATCACCACAGGACATCTAAGGCTTGTGTGTATGTATCAATGGTTGTGCAGGATTCTTCAGAATGATATAACTCTCCTGCAAACTAACATGGAACCTGCGAATTGACCCGTGGAAGACCATGTTCCTCTACAACCCAGTGGTCGTTGGGTTCCATGTTAATCTGCATGGGATATTTCTGGTTTTTGTAACCCCGCCGCATGTGAGTGAAGTGCTCCTCAAGTGAGACATGATGGTATCACAGTGTCAACTGTCCCGACCTTCTGCGCGCCAAAGCAGGTGGTTCAAGTCTGGCATGAAAGCGAAGCCATGGAAGGCAGGATGGCCTGAATTCAGAGTTGCGTGCTTCAAATAATTCAGGACTCTTCCCCAGCTCTAGATTTTCCAGAATGTGGGCCGCGAATATTGGTCCAACCACCATCTTTCGGACACATGGTCGTTCTAAGCTCATTCCGGTTCCAACACCATTCTGCTTTCATGAATACGCTCATTTGTTCCTAGTAGCTTCTTGTTACTACTAGTAAGGCACTTGTTACTACTAGCGATGCACTTGTTCCTAGTAGCTCATTTCTCTTACAGGCCCAAGCGACCGGTCACTTCACCCGGTCGACGAGTCGACGCACCTGATTCTTCCGTGATGAGGCCAAAGCGAATCGCGGTCTCGAAGACCTGCCACGGTAGAGAAAGCGGTGACCCACGTGGTCTGGGTGTTCTTTGTCCGGTTTCCGGAACGGGACGAATCTGGGAGGTATGAAATGGAGATCGCGATAAATGGTATGAGTGGTACAGGAGTGACTTTGGTATACTTTGGTCCACTTCTTTAAACATCAAATCTCAAATATTCGTGCTTGGCTCCAAATTCGAGCATCTCCCCAATTCTCACCCACATTGGGAGTTCGAGCATCATCTGAAACCAATCATTGGAACTTTCACCTTTTCTAGGAGTTCCAGCCCCACATCAAGAACCTCACTTGCTTCTGCCGACTTGTCTTGAAGCGAACGGGCTGTTCCAGCACGATGTCGGTCTGACGTGGAAGAAACTTCCCCACCCCGCTCCGCGAAGGATAGCTCCGCTTGCGCAGCAACACCGTACCCGACCTCACCACCCTTTCACTCCTGCAGGGTGTCCGAGTAAACAGCTTTCGGTGCAGCAAGACCTGGGTCGTCCAGAGCAGAGAGGAACACGTCCCAGTCAGAGCTCTCAAAGCAGCCCGTCACATCGAAGTGAGTCCTGCGCAGACCCAGTGAGGTCGTGAAAAAAACCGTGAGGTCCTGCGTCTGGCTATGAGCGCCACGGTCCGGTCTGTTTTGCTTTGGATACTTGGTCACGCTGTGCCAGCGAAACTTTCTATTTGCCAGGCATGCAGCTGTTTATGTGTTTGTATATATATATATATAATATCCCCCGTGATTGTTCATAGGCGCGCTGATTTTGCATTTTATAAACTTTGTGGGTTTATAAAATGTGTGGGATAGTTTTTTTGTTTATAAAATGAAAAACCAGCTAGTTTATACAATGACCAGCACAGGTTGTGATAGGTTAAGATAGAAATCGACATCCGAATTGCTCATCGGACATGTCCGTAAGAAGCCAAATCCGGATACTGTATAAAATGAAAATTCGTCATGTCAAGATCTCAAGATTCTGAAATAGTTATTCTTTAGTAATGATTCAGATTCTGAATTTTCAGATTCTGAAAATTTATATTTTCAATAATCAACAACTAAATTTGAACCCACTTTTCAAAACTCTTCAAACCTCAAGGAAAGACCGGAACTGAAAGAATATGACCAGGAAAATAACTAAGAATTAACAATTAACTAGCTACTTTTGGTGCACTTTTCTCCTCTCCCCCTGTCTGTGTCCATTCCCTTTACGGGGGAGGTACCGAGAGGCTTCGGATCGACGGGGGGAGACCGGGCACCGCGGGACGTCGGTCCTTCCGAAGCCAGGCTCCGGCCTTTGACCGATGTTTGGAGACGGTCGCCTCTCGGTACCTCCCCCGTAAAGGGAATGGACACGACAGGGGGAGAGGAGAAAAGTGCACCAAAAGTAGCTAGTTAATTGTTAATTCTTAGTTATTTTCCTGGTCATATTCTTTCAGTTCCTGTCTTTCCTTGAGGTTTGAAGAGTTTTGAGGGCATTTCTGAAAATTTAGGCCTTTTGGACACATATGAAAAATCAATACCTTTTTAGACAGTCCAGAACATGATCTTTGAAACCATGTTCTGACCATCCTCTGACAACTCGACAAGTGAATGTTTATAAAATGAGATTGCGGGGTTCACCTGCCCTCTATTACTGTCATTGAGTGTCCAAGTTAGTAAAGTTTATAAAATGACGATACTCCAGATCTGATGTAGTTATCCTTAAAAAACAAAAAAAATCAAATGTGCATTGGAATTTGCATTTTGTAAAGGAAAAGGATCTGCATTTTATAAGCCCACAATCACGGGGATTATATAATGTCATTACTTATGTCATTATGTTTCATTGTAATTCATATCAGATTACCAGATAGATTCTGGTAAATACCATCCCAGTCATCCCAGTCAAGTTGGGAATCCCGTTGGTCCATCGTCACTTGTAATCCAAGTCTCAATCCCAAGCGTTGAACCCTCGCGATGCATCGCCCATCGGCATCGAGCAGTGGGCGCTCAACCAAGTCACCATGAAGACGTTGAGCCATCAGCGAAGAGGTCTCCAGTTCCTCGGCAGGGGCACAAACGGCGGGGCGGTTCCGCCACGTGAACCTAATCCAAGCAGCGCAGCACGATATTGTTGGACAGTGTTAGACAACCTCTAAATCTCTCTCATGAACTGAACAAGAACAGTGCAAAGGTGATGCAGCATTGTCTACACCTGTGAGGCTGTGTTCCAAAACGCCGCAAACGATGAAAGCTTAGGACCAGGAGACCTCCCTTCCCTGCAGAAAGGCGGCGGACAAAAGCATGGCCTTCCATCCTGGCGTTGCTGTCTGGATAAACCAGAAAGGACACCAAAAATCCTATAGTGTTGCTCGCGGTGAAACAAACATGCCGAAGTGGTAGAGCCAAAGGGGGAGATTCCTCTTCCCAGCCCCCTCTAGCAGTTTCCATCTTTCTCCATGGAAGAGTACATGCTTTCTGCTTGCTCTCATCTCAAGGCTTATGTGACTGATGTGCCTTACAGTAAGGGTGCCAGGTCCATTTCCATGAACAACTAACCACCAAACAGATTAAGCAAATGGATCCCACGGTGCGCGGCCTCCACTGGAGGGCTGAGATACACTCAGGCTCGCAAAGGCACGCTTGATGCGAGGCAAATCGTTCACCTCGTCGACCTCTGCGCACCTCCGCAGCAGTCCCAGCCAAACATGCGTGTACCTCGCTCGGGACGAGACGGGACAGGTCTGGGGACGCCGAGCAACGGTCTGGAGATGGGAGCAAAGTGAGCTGAGGGTGTGCAAAAAACAGCGGGCTCCTTGGCTGTTGAGGCTGTTGAGTGATTGATAGTGGTTTTAGACACCTTTTGGATCCGGATCAATGAGTTTCGGCCAGTGGTTTCGGCCAGTGAAATGAAAAAACATGTCACCCTCATCGGCGCGCAGGTGAAGCTCCGACGCTCGGCTTCGGCGCCAGTTCTGCGGCCAAAGCGCTCGGAGCTCGGTGGGACGCCCGAGCGTCGCACCGGCTCCCAGGCCGCCAGGGACGCTAAGCCGCAGAAGCTCAGCACCTGGGGATGAGCAAACATGGTCGAAAGGGACATGAATTAAAAGAATTCAAAGGGCTGAAAGACCGGAAGTGATTGAACATGGAAGTGAGTTGAGACGTGTGGTCAATGCATGACCTTTGTAAATCACGGACATCTTGGAGAGGAAATGGACGTCAACAGTGTGCAACTGACGAGTATGGGGTTCTAGTAAACCAAGTCATTGCAGTGTCATTCCACAAAGAAGTCAAATGCGTTCAAATGCCTTCAACAAAAGCAGCTCGTCCAAATCCTCCATGGCTCTCCATGATGCAAATCGAGGCGACCACAGAAGTTGAGTTTGGCATGCCTCGACCACTGATCAATGCCTCACCGTTTGCCAAGGTGACCACGGAGGAAATTTTCTTTTCTCATTGTCCAAACTGGAGAACTGGATCTGATCGTGTGTGCTCAGGTTTGAGTTGAAGAAGCTGAGAATCCAAGAGTTGAAGCAGCAAATGAGTTCACAGAAGACTCATGATGAATCCAGTCCCATCTGCGCGTTGACCAGTCTGCCTTTGAAAGGGAGAACAGTCCTGGGGATTTGCAACCATCCTGGAGGACAGTTGCCAAAGACAACGCCTCATGGCACAAAGACATGCGGCATGCTGCTCAAGCTTTCGCAGAAACGGTCCTTCGCACCTAACTCTGATGTAGTTTACAGGGTCACCACCTCACAAGGCAGTCTGCGCCCACGTGAGAAGAAGGCGCTTCCCGAATTCGTTGCACGAATTCCACCTCAGTCGACCAGCACTCTGGTGGTTCGACCACTAGAAATCATCAGCCATCGTGTGTCAGTGATGTCGTCGGAACACACGATGAGAACGCCGCCGTGATGACTCTCAACGATGAGAAGTCAGCTGGCAGTCCTCTTCGTCCAAACACCTTTGTGGAGAACCAACCAGCAAAAACCATCCTCAAAAAGGACAGATAGACACACGACAGCCGGGAGACTCACGTTGTTGGAGGCTTTTCTTCTAACTACAAAGAGGGATTTGAGTCCAAGGAGGTCGCTGTCCTTCATGAATCAAACAGCAACATCCAGCTACGTCAGATGGTACAGCGGTTTCATCCACATACTGTACCCTGAGGTTCATGAAACTTCAGTCTGACATGGACGTGCCCACGTCCCAAAAGGTGCGGCTTGATGGGACTCGGGCCTACGCTCCAATCTCGAGGAAATCCACTCCAATCTGTTCTTGAATTGTGGCAATGAACTATGCGTCACATCAATCGTCACAGCGAACCAACTTGTCCACATTCTTTGTCCCTCTGGCAACGCCAACGAGAAGATCCGAACATCTGTGCCTCCACAGAGTCACAGACTAAACGAGGAACTCATGTCCTGCTTTGCTGGCAACACGACGAGTGGCTCTAAAAGCCTATGGCATCTGCCTATGTCGTAAGATTATGCTTATGCCGCTGCTTACGCTCTCCTTACGCGACCACAATGGCAACTTACGCGGGCAGTTCTTGCAAGAAGGGGCTTACACAAATCAACGGGTTGTGGTTCTCCAAAGCAAACCCTTACGCACTGCTAACGCGGAGCTTACGCGGCGCTTACGCAGATTTCCGACACCAAAAGCCTCAAACGGATTCTTCTATAGATGTTCAACCAGCTTGTCAGAAACACACCCTGCATGTTTCAATGGTGTATGCCAGATGTCCATATACGGTGCGCATATGTGTAGATGTGACATGACATGTATGCTCATACTTGGCTTGCTTACGCAGCTTGCGCCACTCATCTCCCAAAAAACAACATATGCAACCTTACGCACACCTAGGTTTTGCTTACGTGAACCATTGATATGACCCCACCACAAACATGAACGGGAGGTTTATAGAGTCGACGTGCAAACCTCCATGAATCCTCCTAACTGTAGAGCTTTTATGAGCTTGTTTTGTTGAAGGCAACAGGTTGAGAAGCCCGAGCCCTTCTGGTGCACTCTGCTTTTGCCCCAACGAATCAACAAGAAATTGGATGATCCAAGAATGCACGAGCAACGCAAATCAACCCAGCGGGTCTCGTATCAACCAGCCAGCTTCTACAAACAAAGCGTCAGGATCTTATGGCACCAGGAGAATTCATCCATCTCTCTGGCCAACCCACCGATATACTGATGTATGTGTGCCTCTGCACCAACAAGTGTCTTGAACTGGGCCTTCAAAAACTCGCCATTCCCCCATTCCATCGAGTTGTCTGCTCGACCAACCCCCTCAAATTGGACTGCTTCGTTGGTGCTTTTTGATTGGATTGTCTGAGAAGGCCAGCTCCAGCTGCAGGACATGCGCGATCGGGTCAACCACTACTGAGACGATGTGAGAGCTCGGGAAGCAAGTGTCACTCGAATTTGACAGGAGTTCGGTGGGTCTCAAAATAGGACGACACATGGCGATACTAAAAAAGCCTCATGGAATGCTTTTTACACACCACCTCTGACCAAGAATCCAGTGGTCGGGGCTTGATAGCAAAAAAACATGTCAAAAGCCATCTCAGACCATTGGAGTGGGATTTCCCTGAACTAAAAGGATCTAAATCTAAAAGGATAGGCCTTGGGAGCCCATTGAATTACCTCTGAAATGGGGATTGCAACTTGACTTCTGAGTTCTCCGTGGCTTACCCATTCTCAGGAGCTCGCTATGTTCATTTGCAAGCGCGGTGAAATTGACGCCCCATTCGCCTCATTCGCTCGGCCACATGGCCAGACAGGCGACAAAAACACTACAATCCACCTAGGAAGATCGATGCATCTCAAACATACGGAGAAATGGAGTAGCAACATGAAATGGATGGATGATGACTGACGTGCCATGAATTGGGGAGTAGCACTTGCTTCAAAACAGCATCCATGCCGCGCATTTTTAGGCCGAGTGAGGGGAACACCATCACCGCCATTCTTTGGTGTGGCTCTTCAATCAGAAGCACACCAACCCTTCTGAATGATCAAACAATCTGACGTAGTTATCGTGCAGATGCCTTCAGTGGCTTGGTGTCCTAACCTGGTCCAACAAAGGGCTGCCTAAGAGACACCATAGATACCAGTAGTTACCCATGCCACCCCTTGTCTCATCCCAGTAGGCATGGCAAATCCTCCCCCCACAATATCCCCACCGCCGTGACTCACTTTTCAAAAAATCTAGAGCCATTCCAAATCCTTTATATACACGGCCACGCTGGGTCCCTGCACCCTCGTCATCGATGGTGTTCGCAGCTGCACAACATGGTGAGGCGCCCACGGAGCAACTCCTGACCGCTGCAACGGGTCGCTTTGAGCTGGTCACAGTGTGATGCAATGGAGCTTGGCCAGCTGGAAAGCAAGTTGCGACATCATGGATGACATCATAGATGACATCATAGATGAGCCGGTCTTCATAGTGAAGGTATGCCATCCTTGCTTTTCTTTTCGCCAAATTGATGGATGGTGGGGGTTTCACCCTCTGGGCCACGGCCACCGGCCACGCTCATCAACAAGAGGTTCTCCAACAGCGAACCAAGTCGATTTGTTCACCCAAATCGCAGGCGTTTAAAGACACACATTTTAGTCCCTCCGACTCGCCGGAAGAGCTTTGGAGGATCAGACTATTGTCTCATGATTGTCTTATGCTATATTGTTTCACTGGTTTAAAATAGCTTTCGGCAGTAGCTAGATCTAGATGATGTGAGATGTGTCTGCAGGATTCCAAGTATATATCTGCCAGTCTCTAAGTCTGTCTCTAGTTTGGAATGACGGAACATTCCGTCATTCCAAACAAAAAATACCCACATGTTCTGATCTTCTACCTGAAGATGGCGATCCATGTCGTGCCTTTCGCGCATTCGGAAAAATGGCTTACATGATTGCCCACTAGGCCTGCGGCGGCTTATTGCCCCTTACATTCTCATTCTTCACCGGCTCTTCAAGGTCCGGAATTGATCTCTCCAAAGGCCCGAAGGCCCAAGGCCGATGCAGCCGTGGCTGTGCAAACATGATGGACGCTTGTGATATCGTGTTATGGACGCAAGAATTCTGTGATGGCGATCCTTCAGTGACACTTGCCGAACACGTTGTGTAAGACGACCAGCTCGGCTCCATGTTTTCTGTGACTCACGTGACCCGAAACAAACCCAACAAATCGCTTGCTCCTCGCCCTCCGAATCGCTGTATGCAGCCTGAGTCAGGTAAGCATCGCATCATCTGGTGGTAAAAGCAGTCAATGTCCTTTATCCTTTATCCTTTGCAAATGTCCTCCAAACCAAGAGTGACAAAAGCCCAGTCGGTTTGGTGCTAAGAGCTGGGCGCTTGTGACAATATCCTGCAGAACAGGTACGCCCAGACCTAGCAAGGCGTGCGTTGAAGCTGGATACCACGAGGATGAACAGGGACTGCTCAAGGACCCCCAAATTTCCCCAAACATCTAGGAACCAAATCATCTAGGAACCGAGCTATCCTGCGTCCAACATACGACCTGCGTTCTTGTAGCGACCTACGCGACCTAGCTCCTACTAGCTACCTACCTCTACTAGCGGCCTACCCCCCGGGCTCCAGTAACAGGTGCATCGCTAGTAGTAACAAGTGCCTTACTAGTAGTAACAATAAGAATTGGTGCAAAACACGTGCGCATCTGTGGCCTCTGGACTCCATTGCCACATCCACCTGTCGTAGCCGGCGTTCGACGAGCCGAGCCCACGTGAACGAGCCCTCACGAGCCCTGAATCCATAGCCCTTCGACTTTGCCATGAGAGCAAATGAGGGCAGAAAGGCTGTTTCTCAAAGGATTCAATCTCCATGTGTCAGGTAAACTGATGGACGGGCACGTTTTACCTTAACAACCCAGGTGTTGACCTATCCCGTCTCGGAAGAAATCACTGCCCCACCTCAAATGGGTTGTCCACCGACCAGCTCCTGGGCGAAAGCTGGAGGACAAATCCACCGGAGAAGCTGGACGAACTGGAAAAACCAGGCTCCTTGTTTGAAGGTGATCCACTGAGTTCTTGCTTGGCCAATGGGTGGCACCCAAGTGTTGGATGCTTCGGCTCGTGACATTGGGCATGACACCAAGCAAGATCAAGCACTCTAGTCGAGATCTCAGAAAACCTGGTGTTCATCCATCTAGCAGGAGAACATACCATACATACCGCACCTCAATAAAGATCATTGAAAGGATTGTCATCCTCACCCAGTTCAGGTTTGTGGAAGTATGTATCACTACTGACCTTCCTGTGACTCTCTATTGGCCAAGCTACTCTTTTCTGCTAGGTCGACGCTCTCGTCTTGC